AATGTTGGCCTCATAAAATGAGTTAGGAAGTATTCTCTCTTCTAAGTGTTTATAGGAAGGGTATTGTTTTCTTCCTTAAATGCTCAAATGTAAGTTCTCTAACAGAGATAGAACCAAGATTTCTATTTTTTCTTGAGTCAGTTTTGGCAATGTGTCTTTTACAGAATTTGTCCATTCCTCTAGTTTGAAAAGGTCACTGGCAAAAGTTGTTCATAATATATCCTTATTATTCTGTTAATATCTGCAGGATCTGTAGTGATGTTCCTTCCTTTATTTCTAACATATATAATTTGTGTCTTCTCTTTTTTTCCTGATCAGTCTGGATAAAGGTTTATCCAGGTTGGGGTTGCGCTGATTTTCTCCACTGTTTTTCTGCTTTCTATTTCATCAATCTCTGTTCTTACATTTATGATTTCTTCTTTCTGTTTGCTTTGGGTTTAATTTGCTCTTCTTCTGGCTTCTTACAATGGAAGCTTCTTATTAGAATGGATAACTAGTTTGGGATCTTTCTTCTTTTTTTTTTAATACTAGTGTTCAAAGCCACAAACTTCTCTTTAAGCATTGCTTTAGCTGGATCCCACAAATTTTGGCATGCTGTTCCCATTTTCATCTAGTTTAAAATATATTCTAATTTTTCTTGTGATTTCTTTAGCCTGTGACTTATTTAGAAGTGTGTTGTTTATTTAGTTTCCAAATGTTTGGGGATCTTTAATATGTTTTTGTTATTCATTTCTAATTGAATTTCATTTTGGTCAGAAAACATATTCTTGCAATTTTAATACTTTAAAATTTATAAACTTCTTTGTGGCACTGAATATGGTCTATATTGGTGAATGTTACAAGTGCATTTGCATATATATGTTTTCTGCTGCTCTGGGCTAGGTGGGTGGTATGTTCTACAAATGTCATTTGGTCAAATAGATTTATTATGTTGTTTTGGTCTTTTCTATCCTCAAAGATTTTCTGTTTACTTGTTCTGTCAATTATGGAGAGAAGAGTGTTGAAGTACTCAAATATAAGTTTTGTCTATTTTTCCTCAGTTCTGTCAGATTTTGAACTAACAGTAATGGGGTATATATACATTTAAAATTGTTATGTCTTCATGATGAATTGATCCTTTTAAAATTATGAAATGACTCATTCCTTCTAATTAAATGAAGTCTAATTTGTCACATATAAATATAGCTACTCCAGGTCTCTTATGATCAGTGTATTTTTTCTCTTTTCATCTTTTTACTTTTAACCTATATGTTTATATTTAATGCGTGTCTCTTGTAGATGGCATATTGCTTTTTTATCAAGTGCAATAAATCTCCCTTTAGAGCATTTAATGGATGTAATCATCAATACAGTTACTATTTGTTTTATATTTGTCCCAACTGTTATTTGTTCCCATTGTCTCTTCTCCTTCTTTATTTTAGACTAAACACTTTTTAGGATTCCATTTTAACTTCACTATTGCCTTATTGATATTTTTTATTTTGTTTGTAGTAGTTTCTCTGGAGTTTGTAGTATGCACTTCAACTTACTGCAGACTATCTCTGAATAATTTTATATCAATTTGCATCTAGTATAAGAATCTTAAAAACAATATAATAATGAAATGCTTCCATCCTACCCCATACTTTATGCAACGGTTGTCATACAATTTATTTATGCATATTAGAAATTTCATTATATATTGTTATGATTTTTACTTGCAACCAATTTTTTTAAAGAGATTTTAAAATGAGGAAAAAAACCTTTTATGTTTTTCCACATATTTACTGTTTCTTTGATCTTCATTCCCCCCTAGAGATCCACACTTTGAATTAGTATCATTTTCCTCTTGTCTAAATGTCTGCTAACCATATACTATTTCAGCCTTTGTTTGTCTGAAAATAGTCTTTAATTCGCCTCCATTTTTGAAAAAGTTTCTCTGGGTATAGAATTCTAGGTTGTAGGTTTCCTTCAGCAGTTTAAAGATGTTACTGCATTGTCTTTTATCTTACATAGTTTTTGATAACAAAACTTTATTTTAATTTGTTCCTCTGTAAATAATTATCTTTTTTCTTTGGCTGCCTTTAAGATTTTCTCTTTAGCATTTATTTTCAGTAATTTGATTATGATGTATCCTGGTGAAATTTTCTTTGTGTTAATCCTGTTTGGTATATATTAAGTCTCTTAAGGATCTGTGATTTTATTGTTTTCACCAAATTTGGGGAAATTTTGGCCAACATTTAATTCTTTCTCTGTGTTCTACACTCTCTTTCCCCTGGGACTCCAATTACACATGCTATGTTGTTTGATATTGTTCCACAGGTCACTGAGACTCTGTTTTTGTTTTTTCCTTCTCCAGTCTTTTTTTTTTCTATGTTTCATCTTGGATCATTTCTATTATTATACTTCTATATACTTATAGTTCAACAATCCTTTCTTCTGCAGCATCTAATCTGTTCTTGATGCCAACAGTGAATTTTTCATTTCAGATATTTAATTTTCCATCTCTAGAAACTCCATCTAGCTATTTTTAAATATATATTTCCCTCTCTTCTCACTAAACCCATTTTTTTAAAGAGTTGAGCATAGTTATAATAGTTTTTTGGGGCGCCTGGGTGGCTCAGATGGTTAAGCGTCTGCCTTCGGCTCAGGTCATGATCCCGGGGTCCTGGGATCGAGTCCCGCATCGGGCTCCCTGCTCCTTGGGAGCCTGCTTCTCCCTCTGCTTCTCTCTCTCTCTTTCTCCCTCTGTCTCTCATGAATAAATAAATAAAATTTAAAAAAAAAGTTTTTTAATATCCCTGAGTGCTTATAACATCATCCCTATTATTCCTCAGACTGTTTTTACTAATTGATTTTTCTCTTGGTTATAGGTCATGTTTTCCTACTTCTTGACACTCTAATTTTTTATTGAATCCTGAATGTTAAGAATTTTATGTTGTTGAGTCTAAATTTTACGGTCTTCTTTTGAAGAACGTTGGGCTTTGTTATGGTAGGTATTTGTTCTTGTGTCCAGTTTGATCCTTTGGAAGTTTGTACTTAAACTTTGTTAGCCTAAGTCTGGAGTAGCCTTTATTTTCAGGATTAGCCACATTACTGAGACATAGCCCTCTAGAATCTGTACTACTTCTCTGAGTGGTGAATAAGGTCTCTCCATTGAGGCTGGCTGAAATGCAAATGCCTCCCAGACTTGAGTAAGCTCTGAGGAATGTCCAGTTCCCAGGTAGTTCTTCATCTAAGCCTATGGAATTTCTTCTAGTACTTCTACATCTTATTATTCAATACAAACTGAATGGGGTCCTTATGCAGATTTCTGGAGTTCTTTTTTCTTTGTAGAGCCCACCTTTCTAGAACTCTGCCCCTTAATGTTAGGTGCCTCAGACTCTCTAAATTCTGACCTCTACCTCCTCAACTCAGCAAAAACAGTTGTTTTCTATTGGAGTGCCTCTTTCATGTTCCGTGGTTGAGACTGTGCCTCCAGGAAGAGGCCCAGAGTGATTGCAGGGCTCACCTCATTTGTTTCTTTTCTATCAGGGATCACATACCTGCACTACCTATTGCCAATGTCTAAAACAATTATTTCATATGTTTTATGTAGTTTAATTTTTTTTAAAGATAGAAGGTTTAATCTGATTTTTATCATTCTATCATAGCTCAAAGTAGAAGTCCTTTCTTATATTTCAAAAATGAATCTTGGAAAACAGTTTGGCAGCTCCTCAAAAAGTTAAACATAATCATATGACCCAGGAATTCTACTACTAAGAATATATTCAAAAGAATTGAAAGGAAGGACTCAAATGAATATTTGTATATCCATGTTCACAGTAGCATGATTTGCAATAGCCGAACTTTGGAAGGGACACAGTGTGCAACAAAAGATGAGTGGATAAACAAAATGTAGCATATACATATAATGGAATATTACTCAACCTTAAAAAGGAATGAAATGCTGAGACAGGCTACAACATGGATCAATCCTGAACATATTAAGTTTTGTGAAATAAGCCAAACACTAAGGACAGACACTGTATGATTCAATTTGTATGAGGTACCAAGAGTAGGCAAATTCTTTGAGACATAAAAGTAGAGGCTGGGGGAAGGGGTGGATGGCAAGTTACTGTTTAATGAGTACAGAGTTTTACTTGGGGAAGATTAAAAAGTTCTGGAGATGGATGGTGGTGATGGTTACATAACATTTGACTATACCTAATGTCACTGAAATGTATACTTAAAAATGGTTAAGATAGCAAATTGCATGTGTGTGTGTGTGTGTGTATTTTGCCACAATAAAAAAATTACCAAAAAAGAAAAGTTTTCCATCTACAATAAAGGATTTCTGACAAATCTTTCAAACATTCCAATAAAAATCTGACTCCAACACAACACATAAATGCAACGCATAATTATAAACTAGATCATTTTGCTATAAAGTATAGCATTGCCCAACTGGCAAAACTCAAAGGAGATCTGAGGATTAGACAGTAGTAACTTATCATTGTGAATTCCTGATTTTGATGATTGTACTGTGTTTATGAAGGAGAATATTTATAGGAAATATGCACAGAAGTCCAGGCTGATGGGGCATCAGGTTGGCAACCTACTTTCATTGGTTCAAAGAAAACAAGACTGTTTATAATGGATTTGAAATTTTTCTCTAAGTTTTTTGTGGTTTTAAAATTTTAAAACATAGATGAAAATATTAAAAACAATTGTATAATATTATCACATTGATCTGGTAAGAGCAGAATTACCTACAGTAAAATCACAGTAAACCATGTGTTAGCTATAGTAAAAAGTTTAAAATTAAAACAATTAAAAACCTTTAAAAAATAAAAAAAGGTAAAATATAACTGAGATTGGATTCAGTGAAGAACAAAGTCCCTGTTTCATACTGAAACTCCATGTATTGTTTTACAAGAGAGTAAAAGGGGAAAATGACAAAACCAAGGAGGAATAGCAAGCACATATACAAACTTGCCAGCAAATGTCTGATAAATGGCCAGAAACCAATTCATACTTACACGATGGTTTTTCCAATGTGCAAAAATGATTTCTCTACAAATTCCCGAACACTATGGACTTCCCCAGTAGCTATGACAAAATCCTCTGGCTCATCATTCTGCAACATCAGCCACATAGCCTAGAAAGAGAGAGAGGCAAATCCAAGTCAAAGTGCATCCAGCTGTCACCTGAGAAACATAATGGTATCAGAAACATGTAATTGGAGGGGCGCTTGGGTGGCATGGTCGGTTAAGCGACCAACTCTTGGTTTTGGCTCAGGTCATGATCACAGGGTCTTGAGATCAAGTCCCATGTCGGGGCTCTGCTCTCAGAGTGCAGTCTGCTTAAATTCTCTCTCCCTCTCCCTCGCACGCCCTCCCCCACAACCACATGTGCACTCTCTCTGTCTAAAATGAATAAATAAATCTGTAAAAAAAAATAATTGGAGATGGACATTGCTAAAAGGAAAACTGAGGCACATTAAATTTTTTCTTTTTCTTTTCTTTTTTTTTGCCAAGAGTTTATTGGAGCATACATCAATTCAAATAAGGCAGCACTAAACCAAAGGTGATTAGGAGCACTACACCAACAGAAACTAGGAGCAGGGTTTTCATAGAGTAGACACTGAAGCAAAGTAAACAAATTTTGTGACTGACTACAGTTTACACAGTTGCCTTATTTGAAAATGCAGAGGTAGCTGTTTGTGACTCGTTGTTCTTAAGGTTCATTTTGTTGGATTTGAGTGCATTGACTCTGGCTTAGGTTTTGGTTCACCTACATAGACTGTGAAGGCATTAAAAGTCACTTCAATCTAAGGCCACCTTGTTTTAATACTCTGACATGCACAGCTAGAAAATGACCATGAATTTAACACACTATTCTCAACATCACAGTAGCGGTTCTCAAACTTTAATGTGCATCAGAATCATCAAGGGAACATCTTAGCACAGATGCCTGGGACACAGAAGTTCAGACTCAGACTGGAAGGACATGTTTTAGGCATCCTGATTCTCACACAGCAGGTCCTTGGGCTACAATTTAAAGGAACAAGATGTTCAAGGGCATTTGTGGCAAAGAAACTTTCTATAGTATATTTAAAGAAAAGAAGAGTTTAAAAAGAATCGCCCAATTTTCCTTGATATCATGGACAGAGGGTAAGAAAAAGTGATTTAAAGACAGATGAGCTTCCTCAAAAATGGAACCAAATTTCCTAACAATAAAGTTGGAAATTTGCCAGCGTGTTGACATCAAAAAGCCAAGTAAGTCAGGAATCATTAAAGGGAAAACAATTATGTAATGAACAGTACTGCCACTTCTAAAAAGTTATTTGAGTGGCAATAAGAATGCACCAGAGTTCGGGATTCATCAGGACATGTTTCAAGGTCAAGTGCTCAGTGCGTGCATCACACCTGTGTACTTTTTCAACAGGAACAAGAAGTCTAGTTGGGCAACAGTGCAGCGGTGCATCTCAGACACAAACTGGTAGCAACAGTCACGGCCCTGCTCCACTCGGTTATAACAACTTTTATCAGCCACACACAGGCCTATTGTTTTGAGAGTTGGAACTGTACATTAATTTTAATGATTTTGTTACACAGATTGAAGGCGCAGATTAAAAAACACAAAAGTAGGGCACCTGGGTGGCTCAGTTAGTTAGGCGACTGCCTTTGGCTCAGGTCATGATCCTGGAGTCCCGGGACTGAGTCCCGCATCGGGCTCCCTGCTCAGCGGGGAGTCTGCTTCTCCCTCTGACCCTCTTCTCTCTCGTGCTCTCTCTCATTCTCTCTCTCAAATAGATAAATAAAATCTTTAAAAAAAAAACACAAAAGTATAGCTCGTGTGTGACTGCAGCATGCCTCTTTAAGAAAATCCAAGCCAACAACAATGACAACTGTTTTTTTATCATTCTCACCCACTTTTCAAAATAAAATAGGTAAAAATAATAGACACTTCATTAGAACACAGTCCCCAATATTATGTGTATTACACTCTGGTTCTAACATTTAAAGGAAACTGTGCTGGTTGGTGTCTCCCTCGTTGCTATTGGAAAAGCTGAAAAATAAGTTGTTGAAGCCAATGGAGCAGCTTCTTTTTTCTCAGAGGATACAACCCAAAAAAGTTTAATTCCTCTTTATTCATTTGAATTTGTGGCATCCTTCTAAAAAATGAAAAAAAAATAGATATTTATCTTTTACTTGAAGTTATTTCTTGTGAATATTTTGTATTTTTGGTCTATTATAAGACTTTTCAATCCTATTTTTGTTCTACGGAGGATGAGACTTTTGGCGGTTTTATGTGCCTTGGAGGTGGGCACCACTGGGTGGGACAATGGCAGTAGCTTCAGGTCAGTGACACACTGAGAAATAACCAATGAAAGGGTCTTGGCTAGGAGACAGTTTTGCTGGCATTCATGAAATACCTCCAAGTGTCATTTTGCATTAAGAGATCACAGATGATGAATTCAGTCACTACACTTTAAAAATTCACACTAGTTAGATTAGGATTAATAAAACTTGATCCATTTTTAAAAGGCACAAAACGCAAGATGTTCTCTTTATTGGGATAGTCCACGCAGCACAGAGTCTCCAAAATCTTTGTACCTCTGAGACTTCAGGGCCATTTCACACTATTAAAAATGCTCTGGGCTGAGAGGAGGAGTGGGGTCTGAAATGCAGCCCAGCTCTGCTGGCCAAGCTCTGTGCCCAGCACTGTCTGTTGTTAAGGTCCCCACAGAGGTGTCTTTTGTTATGGGCACCGAGGCACATGTGCATTATCAGAGGCCCAGTGGGGGGGCTAGCTCCTTGTGTCTCTGTGTCTTGCACGTGCAGTTCCCGTGGCCTAGAATGCCCTCTTCTCTCCTCTGTCTGGAAACTCTGACCTCTCCTTCCAGATCCCACACAAGAGCCCCAGGTCTAGTCCTTGGAATGAATTCATATTATCTCACTGAGTTTCCATGTGACCAATGGCACACAGTATGGTTGACTTCACTGGGACTGAGCCTGCCCTTTGGCCACCCTTCCCCAGCTAAGCTGACCCTCCCACCTCCCCTGAGTGCATACACGCACACACATGCGCGCGCACACACACTTGTTTTGGCTTTCTTCAAAAATACTTTCAAAGTTTTTAGGAAAAACTAAATTATGCTTCTGGCTAGAATTCCTATTTGAACATTTTCCTGAGGGATTTGTGTATACACTTACATGTGTTTTACTCAAATTTCCATTCTAAAAATAACATTTAAAATAGGTCTTTCAGGACTGCTTAGCTTATTTTATTTCTTTTGAAACACTATGTTGTGCTAGAATGGTTTTGAAAAGAATTATATTTTTAGTCATGTGAAAGAAAGCAAGGGCTTGCTAAAAATAAAAGGAGAAAATATGATTACTGGTTAATGGTGGATTACTTTAAACACTGGGCAAGTTCCCTGGTACTTGTTTTGTTCCCTGACAGGAATCTTGGGATCAGTAGGAGCCTCTCACTTTCACTAAAGTGAGTGCCAAGAATCTGCTCTTTTCTTTTCCATCAGACTATCTGCGGCCTTTGACCTATCAATTTCTAGGCATTTCCTCTAAAGTTCATATTGTACCAGACTCCAGTCTGGGAATGGGAAGGGAAAGGATATACAACTCCAGATTTATTTGTTATTACTGAATAGTTTACTGGTTTTAACAGAGGGAAAGGGCTTTGTTTAAATTTCCACTGAGCATAATTAATGGTTATTGACTGGTAAATGAAGAACAGGTGACATTCTGGATTAGAAGATAAATGATCTTGTGTTCTGGTGTGATAATGGGTTAGTAATTTGCCACAAAGCCGAGGCCCAGTGCATCCCATCATAATGCTAGATCATGTCCAGGACACAAAGGCCCCTGTGTGAGAAGTACTCAGCCATTCACCTCCTTATACAGCTGCACACGTTGATTTGGTCCATTTATTCTCTGATGGATGGCACAACTGAGGCAAAAGCTCACCACTTCTCACCTTCCTGTTCACATGCTGAACATATGACCCATGACACAGCCAGGCCACAATCTGTGATCAAATCACCACTTGGCTTTGGCTTCCGACTATAGAAAAAATTTTGAGGTTACATGTTTTAGATGTCAATCCTCTCTCTTTGTCTCTCAAGGAATGAAGGAGAAAAAAGAGAGTCTTCCCACATTCTTTCAGTGCCCTTTAAGGATATGACTGACTTATCCACTTCCTCAGATACTTATTTACTTTCAGCCGTGACCTGATCACCAGTGCAAACAAAAAAAATCTCCTGCTTTTTAATCCATCCCACAGGGAGGAAAGACAATCAGTTAAGGAATGTACCAAGGCTTCAGATTCTTTGACATAAAAATGTCCCTTAACAGCAAATGAAGAGTGCAGTCTTCAAATCATGTCTCACATTCATTTTGCTTTTAAGGTACATGAAGTAGAAAAGAAATCTGATGCCATACCATTGACATCTGAAGGCAGAATGTAGATGATAAGCATTAGTTAAATTTGGACATGCGTTATCTTGTAGCTGTATAATTACAGATAGAAGCTATCAGTTCTGTAAATCTAACTTAGAGAAGTCAAAATAAAACTGTAGAAAATTTGAGCGAAAACACTGCCTCCCACAATCTACTCTTTGGCCATTCAAGTCATGAACGCGGAAGTAGGCAGTGAAGGATCATTCCTCTTTCCTTGATTTGGTAGCTCTGGAGGCTGTTCACAGCTGGACCAGTGAAGGAGAACACCCAAAGTACATCACCACAGCTGACTAACTACACCTGATTCCATGCATGCCTTTTGGGGTGTGATGTGTGTTTGTCTTAAAAATCTGGATTCTACAATTGCTTCCACCTCGCCATTAACCTCCGGTTCAGTATCCAAGCCACAAACACTTATTAACTGAGCTGTCATCCATGAATAACAAGATTTGTTAATCAAGGTTATGTTTAACTATATTTATTTGACTGCTGCTTTTTTAGTCCTGTGCTTTGTGCTTTATGTGCTACTGTCATAAAATAATCTTAAAACAGAACTAAATATATATATATATTTTTTTTTTCCAGGGGAGAAAGTCTATGAAATAATGCTAATAAAAATCATAGGAATTTGAACAAATGGATATTTAAATTCCTAATTAAAAAATGCCAACTGGGG